CGGCACCCGCACTATCTTACTGTCGCAGCGTGCGGACTGGTGGATTTGTTTGTCGACGCCCCAGCCGAGCCCCGCCTCGCGAACCTAGGAGAGACGCATTCGGCTGTTGCTGCGCCTCTGATAGGTTCGCGAGGCGAGGCTCGGCTGGGGCGTCGAAAACAACATCTACCAGCTCGTACGCTGCGACAGTAAGATAGTGCGGGTGCCGACATTCCACGGCATGACCTGACCGTGCCTGACCGCAGGGCCACAGAGCGTACGTTGCAGTCCAGGGCGGGGCGCGCGACTGCCCGTACACGTTCATGCACGACCTCGTCGCGGGAAAGTATCGGCTGCCGTGGGAGGGGCAGGTGAAGCACACCGATGGCCGCTCCTGCGGCTTCCCCGCGCCTGTGCGCGAGTACGCGCCCTCGGCTGCGGCCAGCAACGGGCACGGCGATGCAAAAAAGTAGAGCGCATCATATCCGCCATTCGCTAGGCCCGGATTGTTCCATCACGCGCATAGTTCCCATGATAGTTCCCGCTCCTCTCGCGCTGTACTCTACGGGGGCGTGCGCGGCCCTGTGCGTGTACGTTTATTGTACATACGCGTTACCGGCGTGTAGCCAGCGGCTCGTGTCTTTCGCTTGTGTTGGGGCTGCGCTGTTCTCTCTGCCTGGACGTTGGAGCATGGCCTGGCGAGGCAGAGCGAGCTCACATGCACGTCGAAGCTCGAACGCTATTTTATTGTGTTATAGAGTTATCTCACGTCTCACGATCCTCGCCGATCGCGCGCACACGAGCCTGTGATATCGTTGTTATCTCGCTCCTTCCTGCCGCGACGCGCGAGACGCCGCGGACCGCTCGAAGCAACGCCATCGGACCCTCATCAGAGTCAATCAATCACGGTGGTGATCATCGCACTTCCTCGCGGCGTGTCGAAGCTCTTTGATGGTGGCCTCCTGCGAGGCAACGGTTCTCCTCAACCCCTCCTTCTCGACCGCCTGCTTCGCATCGATCCTCATCATCTGCTCGATCGTTGAGGTCTGGTCCCCCACGACCTTTTGAAGCTCGTCGATGACCACGCGATCGGAGGAGGCCTGGTAGGCAAGAGGGGAGCGCCTTGGTCAGAAGGCAGCGTGTGCGGATGCGGGAT